CCGGCTGGGCTTGAACCACGACAGAAGTCCATGCAACAATGGGTGGTACTGTTTGAGTTGAAAATAGCGAAGCAAATTAGTATATTAAGATTTTGGAAGCATTCTTGGCAGTGATACACCTAAAGTTCTCAATGATCTGCAAGTTAGAGTGCAAGGTGAAGAGAAGAGTTTGTAAACACAAGAAAGAAAATGGAAAGTGGGGCCCATATGTAAATATGCTGGAGGACAGGGTGAACACTGGTAATTCTACAGACAGCCTCGGTTCATCCTTTACATTAGGCATATGACAAACGTTATGACAGAGTTCTACCTTTGCAGAACCAGGACCAAATATCAGAGAAAATGTAAAGAGAGAAGTGGAAAGATTAAGATATATCTCAGACACAGCTAACGAGAATACTGCATGTGACCTTCATTATTATCGTACATTCCCTCCGCCTCTCCCTGAATAATAAAGGAAAAAACCCACATAAGAAAACCTGAAGTTCTAAAAGAAGAAGAAAAAAGTCCTTTAATGTCTAAAACATATTTAGGAGTTCTTTGAACTGAAGTAATTAAGTGAAATACTTTGGTTAGCAACATAACCATATACATTGTTGTTGTTGTTGTTCTGATGCTGTTTCTTAAATCCTTGAGAATGGAATATATATACAGTACCAACAAGCATAATTTACTAGTTTATACTACTATCTTGAAGGCCTCGCAACAAAAAAGCGGGTTGTTCGTGCAGATCCTCTCTTTGTATTTAAAATAGAGAAGTGTAACACTGAATGAGAGAAAAAAATACATTCTTTATAGTATTGTTTCCTTTAGTGCATGTGAGTATAAATACATCAAAAGTGCTGGCAGATATTTCTTCATGTGTTGGCAGTACAAAATTCTACTGAATTAATTCAAGCTTTAAACTAACTTGTCATCATCTGTCTTTCGATATTTCACCTTTTCAAGTGTTTTCCAACTGAGTAGGTAGTAAAAGATATATATGTTGAAAGCTCCACAGAGAATAGAATGTGTTCCCAGCTACTACTTTTTAGTTGCTGATTCAGGCTATCCAAATTTCAAAGTGCTGAGTTACTCCTCCAGTGAGGTAGAACCAAAGAAGCAAACAGTAAATCAATTGCTGGCTATTTAAGAAAGAAAAAACCAGCACATACACAAAAAAAAGCTAACATTGCAGCAGTTAGACATAAAACGTCATTGCCGGTGTTATAAAATAATTTCAAGAGCATATTAAACTTTATGTACAGAACTAGTTCAACTTTTCACTTAAGTTTTAGAATTGATTTGAAGATACATGTATTTTTAGATTACTTCAAATACAGTATTCTGTTTGCTGAAGTCTGGTTTTAAGCACCTAATGGTAATCAAGAAGAAGCTATAAGTAACATGAAAATATGTAAGCAATAAAAATGAGATACTATCTTTGATTCAGAAGCATTGTAACGTACCAATTGAAAGCATAAAACAGGTGTTTTAAAACTTGCTTATAGTACAGTCACATATGCTTCCTATATAAACATCTTGTTTCTCATTTACAGTTGCATCATGTCTGTGTAGCATCTACTGCAACTTCTTACCCAAGTAATACCCACTAAAGCAGGCTTGCTGCAGAAGCACAATGATTCTTCACATGGAGAATCATATTCTAGTTGTGGTTCTCCATGTGACTATCTAGCAATCACTTATGTTCAACCAGATATAGTAAACTCTGATTCATTTGAGAGGTGTAAATGTTTTTAGTTTCAAAATTTTAAGTATTTTGTTTTGAAGTTAAGATTTTAGCTTTGTTGGTGGGCAAGTGAGGGGCTCTAATTCAAGAAGTGATGAGATTCTTGCTTACCTATGCATGAGTCCTGCAAAGAAAAGTTCAGTGAACTTTCTCTTTGAGAAGCCTGCTGGTATCGCTTGCCTGCTTGTAGGGGGTTTGCTCTCCCTGTTCTTATGCATGTGAACACAGAGGGGGTAACTGGTTTTTTCCAGGTTTCACCAAGCAGGAAGGTTGACTAAGCATTTTAAACAGCAGATTATTTCCACCTAAGCCAAGTGGAAAACCAGCATTTTTGACTTAGAACATTAATTCTTTCCTGAACTAGATGTTGAGCAAGATCTTTATTCATTTCTCTCTGTTATGAACTAGGACAAGAGTTTCCAATTTTTTTTCCTTGTCTTGCTATCATTCTGCAGTAGAATAATATATCTGCATGAAGTATGGTCTGGAGAAGGAAAAAAAAGGGGTGCATGTGAATTGTGGGAGCTTCTGCAGTCAGAAGGGTGTTTGCAATTAGAAGAAGTTGGCTGGGGCAGGGATGAGGTTAGGTGTAATGGAGGAAGGTGGTGGCAAGGTGGCAAAAAGAGAAGGAGCAGGAAAGGAGCCGGTTGTGAACTGAAATGCTGCTTTGTCCTGAGTGTCCGTCAAGAGGCCAGAAGGCAGTCGTGATGTCAGGAGAATGAGAGAAAACTGACTTGTCTCAGGGGCTTCTGGCAGCCATAGACTTCTGATCATTCACTGTTGGTTGGCCAGAGTCACCTGGCTGCCATTTCATCAGCCTTTCCCTGGCGGCTTTTTCTCTAGTTTAAGCAGTAATTCCATCTGTCTCAAAAGCATGTATTTTTATTTTGTCTGAAGTTGGAAGCAATGTTTTGTGAAGCCCTCGGAGAGTTTCAGGGCCTCTTTAATTGGATAAGATTTTGAAAAAACACTCTTTTTTAGTAAACAATTTTTGATTTCTCCCTCTCCCCCCCCCCCCCAAGACACACTTTCACTTTTTCATCTTCCCACTTTTAAGAAATTGTATTTTTCTTTCTCATGCTCATTTTTCCCACATTCACCTCCTGGGTAATAGGGATGGGAAAGAAAAGGAAAAAAGGGAAAGAAGAAAATGGATTGCATTTTTTTCCTACCTTCTCTTATTTCATCGTGATTTAAATGGATTTTTTTTTCCCCATGAAAATTGGTTACATTTGAACCTGTTGTTCTTTAGAAAAAAACAGTTTAGAAAAAAGCTTTTAGGTTCACCATTCTGTAGTTAAAAGTTTCCATGTGAAAGCATTTAATAAAGCTATTGAACAGACTGATATACTTACAAGCTTTAATTTTTCCTGCAGATTAAAAAAACAGAGCAAATTTCAAAAAATAACAAAGAGCAAATGCTGTTGAAACAGCATCAGCAAGTGTGGTGGCAAGAGCATAAAAGACTGAGTGAGAACAGGTAAAAGATGAGAAATAATTAGCCTTCATTAAAGAAATACTTTTGTAGGAAGAGATTGTTGTGTGGTATACTTGATTCAAAGGACATTAAGAGGAAAAGATTAAAATACCTGAACTGAAGATAATTTTTTGTGCAGGGCATGCGAGTTTATGATCTATATTGAAAGGGGCCTGTAGACATTAAGGGAACACGGAAAGGGAGGAGACAATAGAGTGGATGTTGTTCTGCATGTACCACACCACGATGATCTGAGCTGTTTAGTTGTCTTATCAACATTTGAAGAGCATGTATTTGTAGGAGTATCAGAAGTTTTCAGATGCTTCTTAATTCCTTCAGAGTCCATCTCTAAAAGTACATATTGATTTCATGCTTAGAACAGGGAACATTAATGTTCTTGTCTATTAGCTTGTGTTTTGTATATACATACAGCAGATCAATGAGAGCATTTGTTGCTCAGAGGGGTGTGGCTTCCATACCACCCAGGACAATGTCCAAGTTCTGACTTCATACCTTCCCAGGCAAAGAATGCCCCTTTTTACTTAATTATTAGAATATTTGAGGCTTATCATTCTTGAAAACATAATGAATAAGAAATTAAAGCTTCTGTAAAACTTGTATTCATACCTTCCAGTCAAAAAGCAGAAGCAGAAATAAAGTCTTTTCTTGATGAAGAAAGCCATAAGTACAACTTTTTTCTGGATATGAAGGACTTCGGTAAGAATGTTTCTTGATTATTTTTTATAATCAAAATTATCTTGATTATTTGAGATTTTAAATCCCTGTCTTGTCAGATTTAGATTTAGAAAGCACAGTGTTGTGTAGTATCTTGTGTGTTTGAGAAAGCTTTATGTTTTATTTGGATATAGAGCGTAAATTATCGGAGGAGCGAGATACATATCAAACAAATACTATTGCTCCTATCTGGCAACTAAAAGAGAATTTGAAATTATGGCTGAATGAAATGCAGTGTTACCTCTCAGAAGAATCTTGTCTGAAATCTAAGATCAATCCAGCTGAGATGTTAGAACAGGTTGGTATTTTATTTTTACAATTTATTATCACTGTATTTTTAGTATTTTCATTTATTTTTCTGTACTACTTTGAGATTATAACTCGTATTCAGAGCATCCCATCTCTTTACTTGCCATAGTGCAAATCTGCTTCACTAAAATCTATAAAAGCATAGCATTGTAGAACTGGAAATCAGGGGTTTTGTTTCTAAATAAGAGATTTCATATTAAAATCAGATAAAGAAGTAACAGTAACTTGTTTCATGAAATAGATCAAATTTGTGAAGAAGCAACAGAAGGCAATTTTGGAATTCCTTATCCTTGAAAGTTTGGCTTTGGAAAGAGAGATTGAAGACTATAAAACAAAAGTAAGCTTTTCCTTGTAAGTTTAGTTAGCAGTTTTCTGAGGGAGAAAATAGAATGCAGAGTAGTCTGCTGAGTAGCGTTTTTCATCACAGGCATTAGTGCATTCTTTTGAAGAGAAAAATGGACTTTTCCTTGAAGTTCCTCCAGCACTACTGTCTTTGGAATGCCCCTGCCCTGATTTGAAGATCTTCCTTATCAATGAATACCAAAAGCTTGCAAGCGAGTACTGGTCTAAGCTTCAAGAGACTGATCAACAGCTAGAAGTTTTATGTAGGTAATGACATGTATTTCTGTATTTCTTCTGTTGGGTATAAAATAAGTAACTACAATGTGTTTTGTAATCTATAGATCCTGCAGTTGCCTTTATCATTAGTTGGTTCTATTTTGTGCAGAGCAAAGAATAGTTGATGCACTGCCTGGCAATCTGGGGTTAAATAGTCAGTAACTGTTTACACAGCTGAGAGAATTGAGGCCATCGTTTCAAAAGCTCTCGTCTGAAATAATAAGTGAAATGCTTTGTGGATTAAAGAACGAACAATCTGGTGTACATCAAATATCCTTTTCACATGCTTTTGTATGAATAGAAATGATCCTTTCTTTATGGTAATTACTCTATCAAATTTATGCCAGAAAAGTACAATCTTTCTGAGAGACATCTAGAATGTATTTATCTATAAAGCAGATAAATAGGTCCAATCTTTTCACAAATTTTGGATTGCTGCAGTAATTCTTATCACAAAGAAATGTAAAAAATGTATGTAGCTCTGATTCAGAAAAACTGAAAGGAGGAGAGATTTTTCTGTAAACAAAAAGTTTTATAGAAAGAACATAAATATAATGATCTAGAAATGTAACATAGCCATATATTAATAGTATAAAGCTTAGCTTTTCTGCTGAGGCTAACTTGAGCTCAGGAGATACTGAGTTGCAGATATTGAACTACCCTTGACTTCTTTTTGCCATCTCCTGATATTCCTGTGGCTTAGAACGGAATCAGGTTTTAAGAAAACTGAGAATAGAAACATCAGTGGAATTGTTTGAAACCTGGGCAGAAGAAACTGGGGAGAGCAAGGGAGTTCCTAAGTTTCTTTGGTAAAACACACTGCTTCTAAATCTCCCTCTTTTTCTAGATACACTTACAGTGCAGCACTTATATCTTCTGCTACTGCTGCTGAGTTTGGGGGTGCTGGAAGAGGTTTAAAATGTAGGATCCCATAGGAAGTAAATTTATACTCTACGGATCTTTTGATAAAATGTACAGGTATTCTGTAGGTTCTTCTGTTATCTGAAGCCTATATCTTATTACTTCCTATTATTATATGATATTTACTAGGAATTGTTCTGATCTTTCCCATATTTTTATGTATTAAGCAGCAAGTGGCAAATTTACAGCAGTTCCTTTGCTGCTGTCTCTGATATTTTGTTACAGTTGCTCTTTTGGAAGAAGTTTTAAAAACCTTTGTGAAAAAATGTGTGACAAATACTAAATCATTAAATATGTACAAGTCTTTCTAGTGGTTTTAATTAAAATTGTGTTAAAGTTTGAGCAACACAATTTTGGTGAAAGTTTATAAATGTAAATCTCTTGATCTACACAGCATGTGTGCTACTGAATAATAGATGAACATCAATGTAGACAACAGAATCTATGAAAATGGTTGAAAAATCTACTATGGTATTTTCATTGATCATATGCCAGGTTTGAATTTAGGTCTTGAGCTAGCTAATTTTGCACTGATAATTAAGTAACGTCAACATTTAAAAGATAAAATACCATATTTGGAAGGGAAAGAAATTCAGTTGGCATGAAAATACATGCAGTGGTACTTTGAAGGAATTAATTTATGGTATCTAGTTGGGGAAAAAGGAAACAGCTATGACTGGAAGAGATGCTGGTGGTAGTGGCAGCAGCAGCAGTCTGCTGGTGGGATGGAGGGGTAGGTTGCGTAGGACAATTTACTCAATTTGGATCAGACTGTGCCCGTATCATTAGCTGTGAATGTATGAAATCATAAATGAACCACCAGTAATTATCTAAGCATTTTATTTAGAGATAGATTTTGGTCTTTTTTTGTTTGCCTTCTGGTCTTAAAATCTTTAATGTGCTGCTCATTTATGGTTCTATGATTTTATCCACAACAACGTTAAAAATGTTTTTTCAATAAAAAAAAGCAAGACTTGGTTCCTGTAGAATTACTTACTTCCAAGATCTGGGTTTTACGGAAGACACAACACTCTCTGTCACTTCTTACATTTATATTGGGTAACTTGAATGAAAATACTCTATGAGATTACACAAGATACAGCCTTGTGATTTAAGTATTCTGTAATTCATCAAGCTAACTTTGATCCAACTAACATGGATAATACTGTCAAAAATCAAGTGACAGGTTTTTGACCTTGGCATGTACTCACTGTACTCTGCTGGTTAATACAGCCTTAATGAAGCCTTTGCTATTGTTGTCATTGCTCTATACCCAAAGATACCACCCATTCTCCTGCATTGCTTTTTTCTCACGTTTGTAATTTGAGAAGTTGCTCAGCAGAACAACATAATTATATAATAACTAGTCACTTCCTCTGAGGATTGTTTCTGTGTAGTTGTTCTTCTCTCATCATATGCTTTAATGTACAGTAAAGAAACCTTAAGTTAATGCTAGTCTGGCGTTACACATCTCATTGTTTAACTGTTATGACTGTCTGGAACAGAAAATTTGGAAAATGTGCATGGAATTTCCAAAGAAGAAAAATCAGAATAAGATAATATTCTGGTCTGCTATATTCTTTGTGTGCTTTTCAGTCCTACTAGAATGATCATCATGGTGTTTATTGCTTTTGGAAACTGAAGAAGAATTTGGTTGGGTTGTTGGGTTTTTTTTTTCCAATCATAATATAGGGTTATAGTGCTTTATAATCTAAATTCACTTCTTTTACTGCTGCTGACACACAA